GGAGAGAAGGCCATCGAGATCCGCTCCGTGGACACTGGTCACCTGGATGGGGTCTTCATGCATAAGAGAGCCCAGAGGTTGAAGTTCCTGTGCGAGAGGAATGACAAGGTGGGGGCAGCCTCATGCAGAGACACGGGGGGGACGCCAAAGGGCTCACGTGGAGCAGATGTGTAAAAGGAGACAGGCTGACATTCGGGGCATATACAGGGATGGGACCACACAAGCTCCAGCCCCAGCTGAAAGCTGATTGGTTGCCTGAATACACCCTCCCCTGTCACTCACTGATTCAAAATATATCAGTGGCTAATGGTAAAGTTGACCCCTCTGTATGAATTATGCCCCCCCCACATTGCCCCTGGTTGACATGGCTCTGCATGGTGTCCCCCTCCCATCCCAGGTGTTCTTTGCCTCCGTACGAGCGGGGGGCAGCAGCCAGGTATACTTCATGACGCTGAACAGGAACTGCATCATGAACTGGTGACGCGGCAGCTGAGAGGCACCTGCATGTCCGTCTGTCCATCCAGCCACCTACACATCCGTCTGTCCTGCGCAGCTGCGGGGAGCGGCATTGACATGCCATTCTTCACCTGGTCCCTGATCCCGTCCCTGTCCTGATCTCTGCTCGTTGCCCTGTCCTCACACAGCCACGGGTGGTAAGGCCTCCGTTGCCTTGGCGACAAAGGGAAGGTTCTCCGTTAACGACGACCTTCTGTACCCTGGAATTTCTGTCCCTCCTAATTTAATTCTTTAACTGCCAGCTCCAGCACTGAGAATGACCGGCCTGTTTTCCCTGTGTTCAATCCTCCTAGAAATGTATCCTCTAATGGTTTGAAATTTCATATCTGGAGTGTTTTTAATAACCGCTCCAAAGATTTCATCCACTCTCATCAACGATAGTCATCGTGTGTCTCAGTCTCTTGAAAATGTCTGAACACGTCCGGTTTTCATTGGCTGATGGGCTGGCTTCTTCTCATATGGCTGTTTGGAGTGAAATGTGCAGTATAAGGGCGCCCCCCGGTGTTGCTCACTGTCATAACTTTAAATATCACACTGGTTGCCAGGAACACCATCATTACATCACCGAGAGCCTTTGCTTTTTTTTGTATGGCCATGAACATTTGCACACTAAATAAGCAAAAACAATCATTATTGTTAGACTGCACTGCAGCTGAAGGAATGAAGCCCTTGGACACGTGCTGCTGTCAGTGTTTGTATGTATTTTTACCTTAGTGACTATCTCATGGGGCTTCAGCACTCAGAGATGCCACAGAAAACTCCCACCATGCTTTCTTTGGTGGACAAGTGAAGTCTCTGTTCGGTCCACAAGTTCTGAGTTGTTCTCGCAATGTGGGAATATCATGGGAACGTTGTGGGAATGTTTGAATTTGGCAGATCTTAGGGGATGGGCTCACTCTAACAGCCTGGAATACACTTTGTGGTCTGTATATATGTATACTAAATTCTTTATAGACTGTACTGAAGTTTAGTCATCTGTCAAAAAATAACTGATGTGACAGTATAGTGGTAGGTCGTCTTCATACTGATTTCTGCCCCTGATCTGAAGTGTTGAGCCCCGTATTTCCATCCGATGTCTTGGTTTAGGTCCCTTACATCAGCTTTGAAGGAAAGAGGCCACGTCATTTTCTCAGGTTAGAATTTATCACAGAAGATGTCGACCGCAGCCTGTGGCCTTGTTAGAGACCAGTTTTTGGAAACGGAAAGATTTGTGGATTCATAGTATAGCAATTGAAAGAGAGGAACCTGTATTTTAGTGTTTGAACAGCACAATGTAGATTGGGTGGGGGGCGGGGGGGGAGGGTGACATTTGAATGTCCAGGTGAAATACTTGTCCAAACCCGATAACAGTAACGTTTCAGTTTGCGTTTATGGAGACGTCTGTGGCAACCGCTTTGCGCTGAGGCAAATGCTGCCCATTCCCTGACGTCATTTGCACTGATCTTGTTGGTTTGCAGCCTGCATCACCAATTAGATAGATATTGATTTTTAAACTTTGGGACGAAAGCTTGATAAATGTTAATCTGAATAGTGGCCTGGGTGAGTACATTGGTGCCTTGTAGAAAACCCTTTTATTGTTTGTTTTTAAGCAGTATAACCTGTTTAAAATACATCTAGATGCTTGTCTGTCTTGTCTTCATGCGTTTTGCACTTGTGCAATGAGAATAAATTGGATCTAGCGGTGGTACGCTTTGGGGGCCATGGTATTGCACCTGACTGAAACGTGCGGAACCGAACATAGTGCCTTGAAGGAGAATGGGGGGTGGGGTGGCACTTTTGATATTAAAATTGACCTCCCCTCCCCCCAGATTTGAGAGTAGCCAGATGATGTCGAAATGGAGTCAGATGCCCCTGGACTGACAGGCAGGATGGGGAATTTTAAACTTCCCTGCGGGTTCAAATCTGACCAGTTCTGGAACTAAAAGCCGCAGTTTTAAATAAGACCATAAGTCCACCAACATGCTTGTTTTATTAGTAGTTTATGTTGATTTTGTTTTAATACAATGTGTGTTGACAGATTCTTTTTTTTTTAGGTAGGGGGTGCTATTGCATTTTTCAGCATTGGGTGTCATTTGGCTTTATCATTTAAATTTATTTTTAAAGTACTACATTTTTTGCACTTGTATGTGGACCCAATGAAGAGTCAAATGTATATTAAGAAAAGAGGTACCTTACAAAGGATGCAGGAAGGAAGTGATTGAGGAGTGCCAACATCTGATATATTTTTACTATTGAAACATTCTATTAATCTATTATATATTGAATTATTTTATGGAGCATATTGATTGTAAATTATATCAGAGGAAGTGTGTTTTGTTTGGTTTTGAGCTTAGTGGACCAAGTTTCTATTCAGAGCCAAATGGAAATTTGCAGTAGTGAGGGCGTCCATTCAGACTGCAAAAGGCACCCACAGAAAAAAAGTAAGACTTTGGTTTGTTATGCTTCTGTGCTGGGGGGGGGGGGGGGGAGGGGGGGGGGGGGGGGGGGGGGGGGGGGGGTGTCAAACCACAGTTGCTTTCCGTGGATGATGGCATGATGCTGTACCACAGCAGAGAGAAGTTGTGTGTGACATTTGCACTCAATCGGATGATGTTACGGGTCCCTCCGCCCAGGCCCGACCACACCCCCTATACATACAGCCACCATGCAAGTGCTGAACTGAAATGTTGCCCTTGCAACACAGTAGAGTCTCAACACTGGTCCAAAACACAACCTACATCTGCTGTTTTCACATGTAGTTTAGGTCCCACAAGTGGTCAGTGTGCACATTTTATTTTAATGTCATTTCTGTGTTTCTCAGCTGTGAGATGTGTACAAGTTTTTCCCATGTTGGTTTATTACACATTGAACAGGTGTGTTTAGTTTACTGATGACCAGGGTCCAGACACCTTATCTCAGCTGATGCTAATTCCATATTTTGATTTTTAGTAATATATACAGATGTTAATTGTACAATTTTTAGTTTTCCATAAATATATAGGTCTGACAGAATTTAGAGACTGTGCTGTTTATAAAAGTTGATGTTAATGTTCTCTAACAAAACTGCTGTTTAAAACATGTCTGACAAACTGTGTTAATTCAATTGCTAAGCTTGATCTAAATACAATCTGTGAATGGATTTGTTTATTTCTACTTTTTATTGATCTGTTGTGAATGCTTGACGGTGGTGTTTTTTTTTTTGTGACAGGTGGAAAAACCTTTCAGATAAGATTTTTTTGTTTGTTTTTTTTAAGCAGCAGCCTTCATAGGACTGTGAGTTTCCAGGTCTCAAGACTGTGCTGAAAAAGATTTGGGTTTAAATTTCTTTATGCAAAAACTAATGTGAAACAAAATAAAAACACTGGTATCCGTTGACCGTGGTAGTGATTGTCATGATTAACGCGAGCCAGTTTTTGTAGTAGTACAGAAGCAATCCGTGAGATTAGGATATATTAATATTTCACCTGTTGTAACTGAATTGTAAAAATGTGTTAAATATCTTTAAAAGGTGATTTCAGAATAAATGTTATACATACACTCAATAGTTCTCACAACACAGTTTAAATGTATTGTTTTCATTTATGCTTAAAGTAAAAGCTTAATTCTGCATTTGTTTTTAATTGTGTTCAGTTTGTAAACTGGTTTGTTGTATTCTCATCCCGGACAATGAGGACTCTGTATATTACAGCTGTTTACAAAATTCAGTTTCCATGTTATTTACTTATTACCATTGACCGCAAATTACTGAGGATGACAGTTGAGTCTCTGCAATAAAAACGGCTCTTACACTGTAGAGGCCTCTTGCAGTCACTGCTACCGACACTGGGGTACCCAAAAGGTTTAACAGGAGAAGTTTTCTTTGAAGAGGTAAAACTTGCTCACATCAGCCTGAATCCCCTTCAGTTAGAATAACAAGATTAACATGCATAAAAAGCTCAGATTTGTCAAAATGTCACGAGATTATTACACCAGACTTTCACATTTGTGCATATAGCCTTCATTTAGCAGAGTAAAAGTCACAGGCCTTCTCCTCCTTTCAGGGTAGGTGTGGATGATGCTCTGAGTGCCCACAAATGGGTCTTAAGGTGATTGAGGATAGCAGAGAGTCAAACATCCAGCATCAGCCTAAGAAAGTTTCTGCATTCTCGATCAGGGGTGGGCAAACTTAACCCAGGGGTGCCCAGTCGTATCCGCAAAGGGCCGGTGTGCATGCAGGTGTTTGGGGTGACCTTTAGGTCAGCTGTTCAAATCCAGGTGAGAGGACTCTTCAGCTAATCAGTCCTCTAATCAGTAATCTAATTATGGAGTTACAGCAAAAACCTGCACAACAGCAGCCCGTTCTGGATAAGATGGCCCACCCCTGTTCTAGAATGTTCCTCTTCAGCACTGGCTTTGTTTCCCTCCAGCGATCATATATGTGTACATTTCTGACAGAAAGGATGCTAATACTTTTCCACGTTCTTCAAAATTTGGGAAAACAAGCATATATGTATTCTTATGTAGAATTTTGTTGACTGTCATTTATATTATTTATTAATATTACATTAAAAGAGTATTGAGGCGCAGAAACAAAATTCCATTAAAAATTAAAAAAAACAATCCATTTCCTGTACATTTATGTACGCAGACATATCAGGATAGGAGCTCACAGATACACACATCATTCACCATCTGTGTCGTGTGGACCCCAAGCCTCAAACCCCCTCTTGGCCAGTCAGCTGTCACAGCGCCACCTACAGTTCATTCCCAGCAACACAGCCACTCCATAGTCATCCCCCCCAGCCCTGATGTGCGGTTTGTCCAGCCTTACCGGGCACAGACCAGAGGGGTCCTGCTTCCCCTCACCCCCTCCCCTGTTTTGAAGATGAAAGAGATCAATCCCACAAATATCACTTCCTCCTCCATGTTTTCCAGGTCTATTGGTGTCCCCCCACCCCCCATACATACTTATGTACATCTCAGCATTTTTGGAAAAAGCATGTATGTGCAATTTTGCGTAATGATGCATCACTCCAGCTGTGTCGCAAAAAGTCATGTGACAGGCCGCCAGGTTGTGAGTGTGCGAGTCCACGTTCACTCAGGCACGGTGCCACTGCTGTCCGCGCAGCGTTATGCACTCCTGGACGTTCGTGTGCCTTAATTGCACTGCTGCATGTAATATTAACGCAATATGTACAGTGACATTACATAGCATATGTACTGTGTGTGTGTGTGTGTGTGTGTGTGTGTTTGTGTGTCCATGTCCAGTGGTCAATCAATTCCAGATCTTCAGGAAGCTGTCCCAGGAACCGGTGGCAACAGCCATGCCGTCGCTCGTCACACCCAGACAGCTGACGCGGTTGTCGTGACCCGCTAGAACTCCTGAAAGTGGGGGAGGGCACAGGAAGACAGAACAGCAGGGCCATGATAAATGCTCTAACTACCCCCCCGTCACCGAGAGCATATCAACCTTTAACTTACGTTCAAGATTTGGGTGATTCTTACATTTATTCTCCCACCCAAAAGTGATTAGTCCACTGTTACTGTTGCAGCCTGTCATTTATTAAACTTTCCGGAAAGTTCTAGGGGAATCAAAGCAATACTAACTAAAAAAAAGAAACGATACTAGAGATGAAGTGAAGCAGATGAAGCAGAGTGACAGCCGGGATGGCAGGAGCGAGGCGAGGCCGCCCTCACCAGCGCGATCTCCCTTCATGGCGTCCCAAATGTTGCAGTTGAAGTCGTCGTATCCGGCCAGCAGGAGGCGCCCTGAGCAGGAGAAGGCCACTGAGGTGATGCCGCAGATGATGTTGTCGTGAGCGTAGAGGTTCAGCTCCTGGTCGGCCCGCAGGTCAAAGAGGCGGCAGGTAGCGTCGTCGGAGCCCGTGGCAAAGGCATAGCCATTGGGGAAGAACTGCAAGGAAGAGGAGGAAGGTGTGAGAGGAAGAGGAGGAAGGTGTGAGAGGAAGAGGAGGAAGGTGTGAGAGACATGGAAAATGGATTCAAAGTCAAGTGAACAAAAGAAGAACATATGAGTCATAAGAGTTTTCAATCCCACAGGATAAACCCCAAAAACGTGTGCAAAGGAGTCTGGGTCACACATGGGGGGGGGGGCCTTCAGCTCACTGAATATGGTGACATCACCATGGCAGCTCAACACAGAAGAGGATTCTTAGCTGCATTGGCATAGGGCTGCGATATCCCATCCCGTTCACGCTGCTCTCGGTTCACCTTCATTAAGTGTGTTGGGGAGGGCAACCGGGTGTGAAGGCAGAACTCACACAGATGGCGTTGAGGTCGGACTCATGCCCCACAAACGTCTGGCGGCACATGCTGTCGCGGACGTCCCACAGCTTGGCGGAGGCGTCACACGCACCCGACACAAAGATGCGCGAGTCAGGAGACAGGGACAGGCTCATGACGTCGCCACTGTGGCCAGAAAATACTGTGGTCTGCTGCCCCGTCTCGATGTCCCACAATGCACTGCGCCACAGGAAATGACACAAGAGATGTAGTTTAAAACGTAATGTGAAAGTGAAGGCCGTAATTTCTCATTATTAGATTAAGAGAATCAGTTCAAACAACTCACCAGCTGGTGTCTCCAGAACTTGTGATGATCTGATTGTCACTGATAAAGCGGCAGCAGGACAGGTAACCTAGAGGACATACAGACCACCTAGCATGAGGAATGGTAACCTAGGTAACCCATTGGACATACAGACCACCTAGCATGAGGAATGGTATCCTAGGTAACCCATTGGACATACAGACCACCTAGCATGAGGAATGGTAACCTAGGTAACCCATTAGACATACAGACCACCTAGCATGAGGAATGATAACCTAGGTAACCCATTGGACATACAGACCACCTGGCATGAGGAATGATACTGCAAAAACCATCTGAGACTTTAAGTAACTTAAGTTAATCAATAGACCTTAACATGAAAAAACCATTGCAGTAACAGTGATACAGCAGGTGTTTTGCGTTGCCGACTTTATCAGATTATGGCCTATTTCCTTTTAAATTTGAGCCAGATTGTATTTTTTTTTGTTATAATCGATCCATCCACACCACAAACTCTTGGCCCAGACTTCCGCTTTGAAATGGCTTTTCATTATACACCTAGTAAAGACGTTAAAACATCCTGCACTGATTTCAGAGCAAGCAAAATCAGGCCTCCAAGTGTCATTTTACATAAGATCACCATATTTCTCCCTCAGCAAACTCCCTTTGTTTTTTAACATAATATGACCATACATCCATTTTTTTTTTACATAAGATTACCATACCTTTCCCAACACTCACTCACTCCATTTTTTTTTAACACAAGATTACCATACGTTCACCTCTATATTCTCTCTCCATTTTTTTTTTTTTTTAATTCCCAACATCCTACACCTCTGATTCTCCCGAAACGGCTAACCCAGTAATGCTTTGCATATCATGCAAAAACAAGTGTGAGCAACAACACAGAGGCAGGTAGAGGGTGGGGGGCATTCTCATGAAAGCCACAACAGTAACACACTCTCATACTCAACTCCCATTTGGTGAAGCACCGGACCAGGGGAAAACATATTTTTTTCACCACAGCTGCAGGTCCACAGGAGCCTGTTTGCATGAAGAATGATTCACCAGCTTTTTCTAAAAACACACACACACACACACACACACACACACACGCACACGCACACGCACACGCACACGCACACGCACACACAGTGTGTTCCAGGGAAATAAAGAGCAGTGTTGGTCAGCCTGGTGCTCGGGGACCCACATTCTTGTTCCCTCCCAGCTCCCACGTGGACTGTGTGCGGTTCTCCGAGGACCAGTTTGAGAACCACTGATATAGAGCGATGCTAGAATGGGAGGATCAAACAAGGGCCTTACACAGGGTTTTTTCTGGAGAGGGAGGAACAGGAAAGACAAGCAGGGGGCAACAGTTCATTATATTCATTTTATGTTCCGATGTAATGACTCTGTTGCCCTTGTTGAGGCCGGTGAGACAACCCCCCCCACCCCCCCACTGCAGCGGTCACACTGTCACCAGCGTGTGCCGACACCCGACACCCAGTCCATCGCGGCCCATGCGGCAAGCTTTCTGAAGAGTGAGACCCCGGCCTCAATGTCACCATGTCACAGCCTGCCTCCGGCCAGATCCTCTGACAATGGGGTCACCTGACTGGCAACCCACAGCCAGCGACAGCAAAGCGGCACCACATGACGGGGACCTTGAGGAGAAAGACAACCCCCCCCTGCTACGGCTCCTGGGGAAATTAAGTATCCCAGTCCACTTTGTGAATTACCCTTGTGGTTTTGACGAATGAATTAATCCTCAATAATTAAAACTGAAACTTCTGTGGAGACGGTGTGAGGCTCAGTGAGTGCGGATACAGTGCCTATGATCAGAAGGTTGCTGGTTCATATCCTAGACTCTACAGAGTGACGTCACCCTTAACCCCCAATCTCCCCAGGGACTGGCTGACACTGCACTCTCAATTCTATGTCACTTTGGACAAAAGAATCTGCTAAATAAATTAAATGAAATGATGGTATGATGGCCCAGTCCTCCAGCCTACAGGAACCACTATTCAATGACCCCCAGTATCAGATCTGGAACGGCGCTCCCTGTTGCCCATGTACCTGTGTGTCCGGGGAGCTCCCTGCTGACCCGCACGTTGCCCTCGCGCGTCTTCAGGCTGTAGATGGAGCAGATGTTGTCCAGGCCCCCGCAGGCCACATAATTCCCCGAGGGGGCGTACGCACACGTCATCACCCAGGAGGAGCGCAGAGGGATGGCGTGGACCTGGGTGACAGGGGAGCAGGGCGAGGCGTTAATCTGCACTGTGCATGACACACAAAGGGCCACCGCCTTTGCAGGCCTTGTGGGGCCCCTGCTGGCTTTGATCACCAAGCAAAGGTTTATTAAAATTGACATATCATTGAGAATGTAGGGTCAGACTGTCCCTGCAGTAACTAGGGGTTAAGGTGCTTGCTTAGGGGCCCAACAGTGACATCATCATGCTGACCCTGGGATTTGAACTGGCGACCTTCCGATCACAGGCAGTCCACAACCCACTGAGCTGCACACTGCCCCTCTCTATCCAGAGCTGTGCATGTGAGAGTCAGTGTCAAACTACTCTCCAATGGCTTTTCCGGGGAGGGGTCGTCAGACACACTCCTAATTGCCTGCTTAACTTAGTTAAGGTTGTGTTGGAGCTGATGGGCTCATGGACTGCCGGAAAGCATCCGGGGTGGGGCTCCTGCAACCCCCCCACCCCCACCCCCCGCACGAAGGACGGAGAGCCCTCACCTTGTTGGTGGTGTAGCTGTCCCAGATGATCAGCTTACCGTCCTGTGAGGCACTGACAAGGAGCCTGTGGGGGGGGGGGGGGGGTTGGGAGATTAAGCAAAGATCTCACTCTGTTAAGCTGCCGGTGTCATCGAGACACTACAGAGGGAGCAAAACCTCAGTACGTGACAGGTAAAGACCCCAAATGAGTCCTTTGACTTGCAAATGAAGCGTTTTCATTTACGGATGACATGTAAAAATGAACAGTAAATTATGTATATTAGTGCAGTGCAAATCATTTTTAGCCTACATTTTATTTTACTCTTGAAATAACGCAGCTTGGGCCGGGCGCGTCTATTTGGATACCACAAAAAACAAACGATAAAAGAGCAGGTTGTTTCCGCTACGCCTGACCCTGCCGCAGAGCTGCCAGCGCGCTAATGCTTTGCATGTCATGCAAATGGAGCTTGCCGACAGCATTCTCACGCTACGCGCTAACAGAGGCCCGTTTGCTGCGGGCATGCAGCCGGCGGGGGCCCGGCCAGAAGCCGGGGCTGAATCAGGGCCCCCCCTGAAATGCAGAGCAGCTCCGCACTCCAGGAGAGCTCAGAGCTTCTTTTGCCGGCACAGGAAGGCCTCCAGGGCGGCTGCTGTCTGACATTCTGTCCTTGCTGGGACAGACCCCAGACTCAGGTGGATGAGAGGATGCAGAGACCTATATGGGGGTGGGGCCACTGGTCCATGCTGGAAGTGGGGGGGGGGGGGGCCCAGTGTGCTCCCTCTGCTGTCACTCATCAATTCAAAACAGGTCCATATGAATTATGGCTCTTCTTTTGCCCCTTTTCCTAGAATCGCCTCTGAGTGGATGTCTGTCCAATCTGCGAGACTGCATAAATGTGCCACTTTTTAGGACAGTGACTGGTCACGTGTCCTGTATGGTAAGTGTGGTGTCAGACGGTCAAACACTGCGGTATGCATGCATGTGTGTGCATGTGTGTGCGTGCAGTGATGCCCCACCTGGAATCGGAGCCCCAGTGCATGGCATAGATCTTAGCCAGGTGCCCTCGTAGCGTCCGCCGCGTCCGCATCTGGATCCGGCCCACGGGGTCGAGTCCGGCGGATATCTGAAACACATGGCTGCATGTCACGGGGTCGGCGGCAGTTGCCGGGGAGGGGGGGGGGGGGGGGGGGGGGGGGGGGGGGGGGGGGGGGGGGGTCATATTCACGTGCAGTGCGGTGGAAAGCGGCAGGACGAGGGACGGATGAACCGCCCCCAGGGCCCCACCATCTCGGACGCACCTGTGTCAGGGTGGAGTCCCCGCAGGCTTTCCGGGCATCCTGAAATCAGAGATACCAGACCACTGGGTCAGTGACAGCAGGCCGCCGGGTTTACTGCGTGTTACAGGCATCCGGAAGGTTATTAGATTAAGGCACGTCACTCGAGAGTCCAAAGACCCTTCGAGCTATAGTGTGACCTGCTTACATAATAGATGCCTCTCCTGAACACCTGCTCCTTCCCAAGTCCAGGAACGGGCAAAACACGGAAACTTCAGTATTCTTAATAAAAACTATACACATATCGACTAGGTCGTCTTTTGCCTTCATGATGACTTCAAATATCGTAATGCAATATTTATCATTTTAAATGCTGACTGCGCGATATGTGATGATTCACATATTGGGCCCTTGGGGGCTGGGGGTGGAAACCTGAGCCACGCCGCATTCCAGAGCTTTCCATAAAAGCTCAGCGTTCTTTCAGCCCGGCCCGTGAGACCCGCAGAGCCGGCCAGCCAGGCCGTCAGCTCACTGGATCAAACTATTTTGATTAACAGCTTTTCAAATCAAGAGTAACTTTGAGAATGATTGGCAGTGGTGGTCGTACGAGTCTGTGGTCGTTTTTTGAGCCCATTACCCTGCGGTAAGTTACTATGCTATTAAACATCCACCTGCTCTGTCAGTAAACTCCACCTGGTGCTACAGACTCCCCTTCCCTGTATTTTCGAGCTGTTCCTGATTTTTCTTCCCCTGGTTTAAATTTGTTCCCTCGATATTCACATGTACCTCCAAGCATCGCCGGTCAATTATGCTCAGAATTTTGTTGTAACTTGCTACAATGACATCCTATTCTATTCTTTTTTCTTGCATTTTCCCCCTCCACTCTTGCCTGTTTCTGTAAATGAAATTCAGACACCAATTCCCTTCAAGTTACTTTAAACTTAGGCCTTAAAAGGGCAATTTAAAAATGCCTTTTTCAAAACAAAAATGTAAAAACCTGTTGGCAATTAGTGGTCTGATCCAAGCCAACCAACAGAAATATGCCTATTTTAACTGCGATTTGAATTTCATGAATCATTCATTTTTTCTACCCCCTTGGTCCATCTCTTACCCTAATCTGGTTCCTCAGTTGCTCCGCCTCCTGGCGCAGCTGCTCCAGCTCACTCATACTTGATTGCCGCTAAACTCTTAATCCCACCACCTTTCAGCCAATCAGCAACCTACAGGGGTTGGCAAAAAAAAAAAGGTCCAACAGTTAGTGTAGTAGCATTAGCATGCTATACGGTAAGCCGTGATGCTGCGGCCCAGCAAGCCGCTATCTATCCCATGCTAATCTGATTTTAAGCAAAAAGACACGTGACCCACCTTCAAACATCAATACGAAACCAAAACAGACCCCATATGAAATCATATCTCCTAGAACAGACAGCACGACGACGTAAAACGAAGAGAGGTCAAAATGAAATCCCAGAGATTTACCAACCATCCACTGAACACAATCTCTGCGTAGCATGTACACAGCCTTCACATGCACACAACCAACCACTTCCTGTTTGTGTATGGGAATCACCCACAATGTCTGCTTTTGTCTCGCAATCTGTGATTTGAAGTGATTTATCTTCCTGCTTTTGTAATTCGAAATCGTATAATATCCTGGAATACAACTGCCCCAGGATTAGAACAAGTGGCCCCAAAACTCTGACCCACAGACGTTAGCATTTGTTTCATTATAACATTTAGGATACCCACAATGCAATGCACACCATTTACATGCACACCCACATACAACACACACAAGTATCAATCCAGATCTGCTGAGCTCATTCCAGACTGATTCATTTTTATATGCCAAACCTCTTGTTTATTACAAATCACTCAGCACAGTGTCACTTTCTATGTACAGTATACCCAGCAGCACCAGGCGTCAGATAAATTACATACAGACTGAATTTCTTTCGTGATGATATATAATGTGCAGCACTGAACCGCTTCTACACGGTCTTAACGAACATCAAACTACGAAACGGAAGTGAGCTGCAGCCACTGGCCAGTCAGCTGACCACCCCAGAGGCTGGAATGCGCCTCCCCCCCCCCCCCCCCGAGGAGTTCCTCAAAAAGTGCTTTCTAAACTGCATCTACCAGTCTGATCTCTAAATCATCATTACACACCATACAGAAGTCTTCATATGCCTGGATCTGACAGTTCCTGGTGAGACTTACCTACAAGCTCAATTAAAAATGACCAAATTACCCGACGGTTGCACTACCTCTGTGGTCTGTGTGTAACCACGGGCTCCGGTCAGTCCACATTACAGCAGGCTGCCGCTACGCTTCAGTAACGCCGATTACATTGAGCAGACACACTTACAGCGAGACGTCCACCAGGGGGCAGCCTAACATAATTACCACGCCTTCCTCATGGGCAGAGCAGAGCTGCTACCGCCAGGACCCAAACCCTCAGCCACGCAGCAAACGGAGCCACTTCCCCTCCTCCTGCTACGCATTTGCTCCTGCTGACAAGACGACGCCTCTAGAGGTAAACGAATCTACTCCCTTAGTCACCTGTGCTACCAGAAATCTGACCTTCGGCTATCAGCCGAAACGCTGCCCTTTGGGTGTCACCGCAGCGTATCCAGATCGCAGTGCAGCCAAGACCCAACCCTTTGGAGATCTACAAGTGCAGCTGGTGCTGAGTGGAGGCACCAATCACATCTTTGAAGATCAACTCAGTGCAGCCAGATGCCCGTCCTTTAGGTATCGATGGTTCAGCTGGCACTGTGACCTTTGGACATCGCCTCAACGCAGCCCAGAACGTATCCTACTGAAGTCTGCGCGCCCATTCAAATCCCTCCCTCAGCTGTTCATCAGCGCAGCCAGGGCTAGCCGCTGCAGGTTTGCACGGCATTTGCATCGCAGCTGCTCTTGGCGACGGAGCCATTTCCTTGTTTGTCTCCATTATGGCCGGTCAGCTAGTCACACAAAAGCACATCCAGGTGTGAAGGCAAAACACAAGTTCATCCCCCCAAGTTCCACGTTTCAAATCTCTTCCTTGTCTCACGCTGTCAGCTAAACTCCACCTCACAAAAAAGGAAATACTATCAATTTACTTCTAAGATAATAATCAAGGCCCCAGCCTTGTGTCCTGGTAACCTGCAATGATTAATTTACTGCAGTTTTTGTTAGTGAGTTATGACTACCTTCAAACTGTCTAAACTGCTGTTTACAGGTGCCTTTTATTGCAACAGAAATTTAATATCAAGGAAATTTTAAGTCATTTGAATTCAGTGTTCGAGTAGAGTACTGTCCTTCCAGGAAGTCCCCTTCTTTGTGCATAGTGCTTCCGAGAATAATGCCCAGGATAATCGTGTCCCTGTATAGATAAGCAGTTACGGGGAAAATGGACAGATGGATAGATACATGGATGACTGGCCTGTAATACCTTCATACCTCTCAAACTAGGTCTTAGTTAAGATTTTTGTTCTTCTTCTTCAATGGACTCTCTGCTGTAGACTTTAAAACTACATTTTTCCCCCACGAGCATCTGTGTTCATGCAGAGAAGCCAGTGAATGACAATGAGATGCTGACCAGATGTGGATCAAATTGTAGTTGCGGCGCGTGACTCAATGCGTCAGGGCACCGTGATCAGAAGATCATAGGGTCAAACCCCAGGGTTTGCAGGGAGGATTCGCTGTTGGGCCCCTGAGCAAAGGCCCTTAACCCCCAATTGCTCAAGGGACTGGCTGGCCCTGCATTCTCAAATGCGTGTCGCTTTGAATAAAAGCATCTACTAAATAAAGTAAATGATTAATGTTAAAATTGCACCAGTGTGCGCCTATGTTGCATTTTGAAGGGTCCCTCTGCATCGCAAGCACATCCTGCAGGAGGCAATTAAGCAGCACCGCCTTCCCCCCCGGGGGCTAGAAACATACAGATCATGCAACTAATAGAGAGCAACTGGGGGAAATTAGCCAGCGACAACCATTCAGCTCAATTAGGAGACATCCCCATCTGGCTGGAAAGGTCCCTGAAACATTACAGGGACACAGCATTTTAAAGGTCCCCCAACACAGCTCGAGCCTAAACATCAATGCAACACGGAACTTCCAATGTCGAGATAGTAATTTAAAAATTAAGTGACAGGTGAGACAGCAAGATAAAGGTATACTCACTGCACAGCATGCAGAAATGCAGCAATGGAATTAAATAATACATAGTAGAATAACATACAATGTGATTTTAATACGCCCAATATTCATGCGATCTGCATAAAAGATCGAGTTGACAAGCCGGGGAGGGTGTCCCCTGTATCGAGACCTGCGCTTCCTCCGCTCACCGCAATCGTGTTCTGGATACAGGGGGTTATGGATTAATGAATGAAGATGCAGAAAGGATGACAGAAACGGCACCGAGTGGAAAGAAGGCCTTATGGACCTCAGTCTGCTCCCAGCCTCAGTAACTCGCTCCAGCTCCCGGGACACGCTGCCACGGTCTGCCGCTGCGCCTGCGCGTTCGATCTGTAGGCGCAAACAGCGGCAAACCTGCGAATAAAAACCTTGTTTCGCCTTTCAGGGTGAAACGGATCGCCTTAATCCGTAAATGAAAGATGAGTGTAAACAGGATGTACAGAAAGCAAGCGCTCGTCTGATCATCTATTGCAGTTTCGATTGGGTGTCAGACGTTTTTAAAAAGCTGCATTTAGAACTTCTTTGTGTTAACCACTTGACAAATCATATCCGAAAATATGAATTATTTAGCAGAGACGGTAATATAAATCGGTAATTCATTTAGGACAATGTCTCTTTCCATATGTCGCGCTGCACATTTTTGTAGTCTACGACTGCAAGTTACTACCAATTAAAATTAAACATTTACTTTGTCACAATATGTCCATCTGGTGCCTAGTCCCATTCAAGAATGCATGCCAAGTGCATTTGTTTAAATGTTCAGATCAGTTTTTTCCACTACAAAACCTGCCATCTCTAAAAATGACAAGGGGAGAAATTAAACCTTAATATCGCCAAGAACGATAATGGATGCTGTACGAAAGGCATTGACGTTAACGTGTTCGGTACGCGAGGCCATTATTAGTGACCTGCCAACTCCGTTCAGGTGCAGTACAAGAAGATAAAGGATCGTCCCCACCCAGCTCGCTTTGACACATGGGGACGGACACCCTGGCGTCACACGCCACTTTTTATGATTCAATTTAGAATACAGTTGTGAAAAGAAAGTACTCAAAATTCATATGATATATGGATGGGCTAGAGACAAGCTTGCATGAACAAAAAACCTTTTACCGCACACTCATCTGCCACGTTAGCTGTTAACCCGTATCCCCCCACCAAAAAAACGTAGGATGGAAACTCATCACTGCGTCCATGGCCAACATATAACAATATCATAACACAACTGTGTATGACGGCCATTGTATGTGTCATTACAATTGCTGGTGAGCTATGTAATTCATCACCTTATCAAATATATTATCAATTACCTTATCACGTATTATCAATCCTCTGCCAATAGTAACATGCGGAAGCACGGCTGATCGGCGTGTTAATTCATAATGTTGGTCGTTTGTCGACAGGCGACGTGGTACCTGCTATTTTCTTGAATTTCCTGGCGTATTTTATCTCCGGCGAGAAATAGAAGCCAGCGGCCGCGGTTATTCAGTACACGGAGACGGCTTGATCTTCTCTTCACTGCAGGACACGCCGTTCGGATTTCCAGGAGTTTCAATCCACTACCAAACGCTGAATGATATGCATGTCATGCGTTTTTTTCAAGTAGTACTGCTTTGAGAAGAACATCAAGTCGATTCAGGGCCTCCTCAAAAATGCAGTATGTGTATTACACCGCTAAATCCTCTTCTCTGCTTCAAATGGGTTTTCAAAGTCCTGAAACTTACCGTTACAAATTTATATTTGTAACAACACGACGCGTAGTATGTTTGCTCACTCGGTATTTGAGAGAATTAACACCAAACATATATCAAAGATTCTTTTTTGGGGGTTTGAGTGCAATCTTGCTGCATGTAATTTTCTGATCCCTCGCTTCCTTCTTCGCTCGGCTCGGTACTCTCCTTCTTCCTTCTCTCCTCCCTCTCCCTTTTTCCGTTATGCCCGTCGCACCCTTGTCCAAAAATGAATTACTATATAAACTGCGAAGACCAGAAAGAGGATCGGACTCGGGTTTTTGATCGCAAAATAAAAAAACAAGAAATAGAACCAAAATCGACTTATCTTGCCGGCTGATCTGGAGACGCGCCTATTGGCGCAAAAATAAACGAAACGATGCTCCTACGGTTAACACGCTCCGAAGTAGAAATGCACGTATGCCTATACCTAGGCACATGCAAACGATTCCGACTCGTACCCCACATAAATAACCTTCTTCTGCACGGACATTAGCGTTGAGAGAAATTCAACCACACCCATTCGGAGAGAGACCATACCATTCGGCAACGCCGCTGCTTCTAGGAAGAGTAGATATAGGCAAGGCAGGGTCCACAGCCACTATCACGGAAACGAGATCTTCAGTCACACTGGCGTTGAATATATGTTAAAAAGATATTTAAATATTTGTCCTGTCTTTTTCACATGACATATCATGCATAAGCTGTAGGTATAAAGATACGGCGCCGAACAAAAAATCACGTTTTCGCTTTCAATTGACTTTTTTATGCACGAATGTTAACGCTCACGGTCCGCCTACGGCCGAATGCCGGTCACGTGATTCGCACTTTTTCCGCAAAATCTGACTGCTACATGTAAAAAGCCCATGTTATCAGTTGGTGGAACATTTTAATTCCTGTTATGACAAATTACAATCGATTACTCGACTATTTTGTCCTCTACTAGCCCCTAGGTTCTAACTGCAGGAAGTCTATCGAAAAATCGAAACATAAACAATGTATTTTTTTCAGTTCACATTTTGAACTATTTCTTGGAGACCACGTTTGTGTATTATATGTCAGAATAATCGCACGTCAAGTTCTTTAACATTATTTTTTATAATATTATGTTTAATGAAGGCCGAGTAGATGGTTTTAATGCAGGCATATTTAGCTCCACACAACATCCAGTGATGAAATGACTGGACTCGAAACTGAAAAGTTTAATTATATATAGCCTATCTAACAGTATAACCAGGTAAAGTGTATTTTAAGTTGTTCTGCTGGAATAATGAAACAGAAAGTGTTCAATATGATGCAATACTTATATGTGTGTGTGTGTGTGTGTGTGTGTACGTACAACACTTTGTATCTGCAAGTATGCCAAAATGTTAATATTATATTGTCAAAGTCAAATCAATGATAATTACATGAGTTTCATATTTGGTTAAGGACTATGAATCTAAATATATTTTAAGGTAGCTTTGAATGTCTGACAAACTGAAAATTAATGTTTGTTTTCCTGTTCAGATTCATGGGAAGCATGTGTCAAAGGGAGGTCAGAGTCCGATATTTGTCTTTCCGCTTGAACTGTGACAGTTTATGGCCTCCTTACAACTATGACCCGGTCCTGAGGTGATTATCTTGTACTCCCTCTCACTCAACCCACAAATGTGCATTTACTTCTTTTTTTTCTGGCTCCCCATGAAGACCCTTTAAATCTTTCCACTAAATCAATATACAGTACACGTCAGAGTTTTTGAGTCTTGGTGAATTAATAGGGGCTTCACCCTGCAACCCAATGAGCAACCAGATAACCATGGTGTGCAAAGTAGTGTCAGCTCTCTACCCGCATAAAAGCACAAAATGGTTTATCCCACCTGACTTCTTCTTCAGGTCTTATTAAAGAGTGTTGTGACAGAAGAACGGTTGCCTAGCAACCACATCGGTTGTATGGATAAAAATATATTTTTTCTCTTTCCTATAGAGCCGATGGAGAAAAAGATGGCAACTGAAAAATGTTTCTTAATGCTTACGTTGCAAATACATTGAGTGAATGAGACTAACAAACACCATGTGACCGATATAAGTACAGAAAATGAGCTTAATAATATACATTGTAGCAGTTAGCTAGGCTGAGTAAGGCATAACGTACATGGATAGGATATTCTTTACACAGCCTTGTAAATATCTATATGTATCGTATTTATGTAGTAGGGGTATATTGTTATATTTGAAATATAAAATAAATTCCATCGTCGTCTTCAATTAATGAAGTCATCGTATATGTTCGTCATTTGAATATTAACATTTGAAGCCTAACATTTTATCTATCCTGACTTCTGTTGACAAACGTCTACATGCAACTCTGATCGGCTGAGTAAAGGACTGAGTTGATACAATGAATGCATTAAGAGATTATGTGAAGACGTAGACAGGCTAGGTAGGTTACCTACCGACCCCAACGTGCGAAAAGGAAAGTTAAGCATCCTGCGCGTTCTCTGCTATTTTGGATAAATGGTGGTAACACCGTCCAGTGTCCTTTTTGCTCATTATAGATCAAGGAAAATATTACAGAGATTAAAAAAAATACTTGTCGCAATGATATGTTAATTAGTTCAAAACTGCAGGTAGATTGCGGGATGCCTATAGGCTTATAATTAGTGAGCAAAAGGCTACTTTTGGGGTCATTCGTTGTCTATTGTGGAGATCATATGTCAGTAATCAATCACAAGCGAAACTGCCGCATCGTGCAATTCAGCTTGGCAGGAACAGGCTTTGCGGGCAAAATCACCCTAATGTCTTTGACCGACAATTGCTGGCCGCGTTACATGCGCGAACGGGGACCTTTAAAAGCTCCGGCCGGCACCTTTAGCCAATGGCATGAGCCCACAGCCGTTGTTCCGACATCTGATTGGCCAGCTCTGGGAAATCGTGAGACAACGAGGAAATAATTGGGAACGGGCGGACTGAGGAGGGGGGGGGGGGGCACAGAGTGTGAGGATAGCGGCGTATTTTTGGGCAATCCGCTCTCTGTACGTGTATCACCCCGCAGACCCAAAAAAATCAGAAATTCACCACCTTATCCAAGTTCGAACTGACCCGAAATCACAGTCCTCTAACATTTCATTTGTTTTGATATAAGGTGTTCCTTAGCTATTCCACGGCCAGCTAGCTGTTGATTTTCCCTGGGAGATTAGAATAATATTTAGATGACAATATGAGTGGCGGGGTCTATGGCGGAGGTAAGATCGTTGTCGTTTGTGTTTGTGCTTTTGCGCAACGGCGGCTGAAACGCGGCACGGATGGCGTATTGTACATTGCTAATCTCACGCAACAGAGGATGCAATAGACTAGGAAGCCGAGATGAATGGGTGTAACTGAACCTACAGTACTATTCAAATACAGCAATGACAAACTCTTACATACATGTGAATGGCGAATACACAATTTGGTTGTTAAGCAACTGTACGCGATTTTTTTGTTTTTTGCCGAGAGTTATCATGTGTCTAGATGTGCAGACATGGGCTGGCGCTTTTGCATGTGAGCGGCATGAAATGTTTCTGTCATGACACCTTTACCAGTACACACGCCGTAGGGAAAATTACAAAAACAAAAATGTAACTCCTCGTTTTTCCTGCCATGGAGGATATTGCGATTGGGATGGATACGATGAAGTGTTATGAGACCAAGAATCTGTAATTGCTCTGTAGGAATCTGGTGCCTTTCTTCATAAAGACTTCATTCTTCTGTGATTTGATGATGATGGGAAGTGCCGTGGCTGGCGCCGCTCCAGACAGGCCAGCGAAGGGTCTATCGATCTGTTAGATGAATGATGATTAACTTCCTTCCTTGCTCGTCAGATGAGCCCTTGACAGCATGTGCTTTTAGAACAGCGTATTTCATCCTTGGAGACCCACAGTATATGATCGCTTCTGTTTCAACCAACCTTTTAAGTGATATGGCACGTTTCCGATTGTATAGCGAGGTGGTGTCGCATTTATATTTAAATACTGAAACTATCAGATTGTGAATTAAGTAATATTTCAAATACTTCCTTTGTCAAATGCTTGAAGGAACAGGTAAATGTTCATTAAGAAAATATTGCTGAACAAATTATTAAATAAATATAATCATCTCAACATATCAATCCTAAGATTCACTGTATCATAAATATCAATTAACAGTTAAGTTTAGTTAGGAGTGCTACTCAAAAAACCACACACACACATAGTATTGAACTAATTACAAAGGTCTCATTTTGGTAGAGTAGAAGAATCACTCTGAATAAACTCTCTTTTTGGTAATAAAGGGGGAGAGAGCGGTCCTAGACCATACAAGCAACATGCAAACCTATAAAACATATCAAACACAGGTTTTCATACATAACAATGCCAGCTTATTCTTTAGCAAGCTGTTCAAGCTCTGATTTTTGTAGAGTGGTATCTTACACTTCTTACAGGAGTAGACCCCAAAGCGTGAATTTCCAACTGATATTGAGTGTTGAGGGCACCAGAAATAATTAACCCTTTAATAACCCTTGTGCTACATGCCAATGCTAAAACCCACCATGTAGACACAGTAACTCCACACATAGTGGACAGGTTATGATTACTACCTCTACCCATGCATCCATTTTATCTGCATGGGTCCGGGTCTCTTAGAGATGCCCAAATCTCCCTCTCCCCAGCCACCCGCTTCTCCAGGGGGATACCAAGGCATTCCCTGGCCAACCGAGAGATATAATCTCTCCAGCGTGTCCTGGGTCTGCCCTGGGGCCTCCTCCCAGTTGAAGATGCCCAAAACACCTCCCCAGGGAGCCGTCCAGGAGGCATCCTAGATAGATGTCCAAACCACCTCAACTGACTCCTTTGGAGGTGCAGCGGCTCCAAATATCTGAGCTCCTCACCCTCATCTCGAAGGCTGAGCCCAGACAACCTGTGGAGGAAAGAAATTTCTGTCACTTGTATCCGCAATCTCATTCTTTCAGTCACTACCCAGAGCTTGTGACCATAGGTGAGAGTAAGGATGTAGATTGACCAGTAATTCGATAACTTTGCCCTCCAGCTCAGCTCCCTCTTTACCACAACAGAATGGTACAGCCTCCATATTGCTGCCGTTGCTTCACCAATCCGCCTGTTGATGTCCCACAGCCTCCTTCCCTCACTTATGAACAAATACCTACTACCTTTTGGCCTTTAAGTACAGTTAAAAGAAATGAGAATCTCTTGGAAGTTGGCATGGTGGCTCAGTTGGGGGGGGGGGGGGGGCACTGTAATGCCTCGTACCTCTGGGTTGCAGGTTTGAATTATGCCTCTGCTCTGTGTGTGATGAGTTTGCATGTGTTTGGCTTTCGCTTACGGTTCATGCAGTCTGTAAGTTATGCAGAGCATGTGTGTGTGTGTGTGTGCTCTGTGAGGGTCTGCCATCCCATCCTGGGAGTATCCCTGCCTCATGTTTTATGCTGCTGATAGGCTCCAGCCCCCCCCCACTCTGTACTTGATAAGCAGCTGGAAGCTGGATGGAATGAGGGTGACCGTACTTAAGGGAGACGTCAGCTCAATGGCAGGACTCCGACAGCTTTGGGTGTCTTGCCTGCTTCCTTCTCATTATTGGCTTCCCTGTCTCTCTTCGTCCTGTTCACACATTTTTTCCCTTGCTTTCCCCAAGATGAGGTGGGGGCCCTTGTGTTTGACATCGGCTCTTTCTCAACAAGAGCAGGATATGCGGGTGAGGACTGTCCCAAGGTAAGCCCACCCCTTGGGCACCCTGCCAGCCCCCCCCTCCCAGGCGAGGCTGCTAGATCATGCCTGTCACTCTTTGACTGGACTCTACTGCCACATGACTGGGACCCAAGGTCACATGGTCTTACATTCCAGTCAGCAAATCCTGAATTGAATGTATATAGATAATCTATGTATACATTCAGTTCCTCTGGCAAAAAAAACAGCTGAATAAATAAAGTTGTAGTTAGATTAAACAAACTAAGAGCTTAAATAAAGAAATAGTGGAGTGCAGGTCCATTTGTGATGAGTGGACAGATACTTGTAAAATGTCCCTTAAAAACATCATAGTGAAGAGTGGATTTGATGCTACTCTGTGATATGATGATTACATCACTGATCTGCCCCCTTCTCCGCTTCGGTCCCCCCTTTCTGCTCTGTTATTCTTCTGTTGTTTTGTATGTATTTTTACATACAGTAACTGTGCAAAGTACTTAGGCAAAGAAAATGACGTGTAAATGATCTTCATGTTGGTGTAAAACTATGATATTACGTCTGTCAAAGTGTGTCAGTTTGGCCATTTCAAAACCTCCCCTAAAGTCAACCCAGCAGCCACCCCATACACCCATGTGTTTGTTGACTCAGCTAATAGCAAACCTGGGGCCTGTACTACGAAGCGGGGTTACTGGCTTATCGGGGTAACTTGTCGGATTTAAGGTAGTCTGGGCAAAATTCAAGTGAATGAATATGAAGTCCTTTTAAACTGGTAACTTAAATCCGACAAGTTACCCCAATAAGCCAGTAACCCCGTTTCGTAGTACAGGCCACTGGTTTGGCTAATCAATACCTCATTGGTTAATTTAACACATTAAACTAATTAATTAAGTCAGGTGGTAGTGAAATACAGCAAATACGTGGAATGACTGTGGTGCCCCAGAGGAGAGGTTTGGGAACTGAAGCGATGTTGGTACTGCTCATTTGCATGTGTCCTTAGTGTTAAATAGTGCTTTTTTCTTAGCAAATATACACTGACTTACCATATAAATACCTTCAACATTTTCCTTGCCTGAGCCTTCTGCAGAGTACTGTACTTCAGGGGTGTTAGTTTGTACTAACTGCTGCTTTACTTTCTTCACATTCATTCAATTCACTCCTGGCTCCCTCCTCTCCTCTCCTCTCCTCTCCTCTCCTTTCTTTTACTTTAATTCCTTCATCCTTTCATGGTTCCCCTTTCTTCCCACTGTCCCAATTTTCCGGACACATTCCCGGATCCTCTGGCCTCTGGCAGGCAGATTTCCCAACCTCGTTGGGGGTGCAGGTGGATGAGGAAGGCGGGGGAGAGCTGGCGGGAGAGCAGGAGAAGGCCACAGGGGGGCGTACCTTCTATCTGGACACTAACACGCTGCACGTCGCCCGCGCAGGGGTGGAGACAGTGTCACCACTGAAGAACGGCATGAGTTGAGTGACCTCTTGTGGCCGCGTCATGCCTGCATGCCAACGGCTCTGCTGCATTCCTGCATGGCTGCTCTGAGAAGAATATCGAACCCGAATTCGGGCAGAATGACGACCCGTTGCTATGGGCAGGGCTAGCCCAAGGTGTTACTGAACCAATCGGCTGCTTAGGGCCCAGCAGCCACCAGGGGGCCCTATTTGATCAGCCAGTCAGGATGGGAAGGACAACTAGGTTTATGAAATGTTGCTTAGGGCCCTGAAAAGGGTGGGGCTGGCTCTGGCTGTGGGTCATCAGATGGTACTTATCATATAGAAATATCTTGGAAATGTGGCCCTGTTTGCAGTTGAGGACTGGGAGGCTTTCCGGGCCATTCTGGACCACACCTACTGCAAGCACATCAAGTCAGAGCCCAGTCTGCACCCAGTGCTGATGTCAGAGGCTCCGGTGAGTAGAACATCAGCCCATATCAGTAAATCAAGAACGGAGGGGGCCTGAAAAAGCGAAATAATGGGCGAAAGATCAATGGACATCTTTAGTGATCAAACTGAGCTTGGCGTTGGGTTCATTTTAAACGTGTGTGTTTGTGGTACAGTGGAACACACGGGTGAAGAGGGAGAAGCTGACAGAGCTGATGTTTGAGCACTACAACATCCCCGCCTTCTTCCTGTGTAAGACCGCCGTGCTCACAGCGTATCCGTCCCCTGCACTTCGGCGGCGCCTGAGGTCTGCTGCTCGTGTCAAGCTGTCAGTCAGAGTGCGGCCAGACTTCACAATCCGGTCCTTGGCGATCCACTGTCAACCCATGTTTTTGCTCCCTCTGAGGGAGCAAAAACATGAACTGAGGACCGGATTAGGAAACACTGGACTATATAAATATAATGTGTTATGTCAGTCGATGCTTGTTATTAAATATTTAGTGCAATTGTTTCTGGAAGGGGGCCATGTTAAAATGATTTGAATTTAATTGAGACATGAATTGGTAATGCCTCATATTAAATGCACCTTCATAATGCATTCATTGAGCATTCATAAGCAGCATGTAAGTATACCTAAACAAAGGGATAGACAACCCTGATCCTGCGGTGCCGGTAGCCAGCAGGTTTTCTATCCTACCTGACGAGTTACTATCTGCTTGCGGTCAGACCCGGTAGGATGGAAAACCTGCTGGATATCGACACCCCAGGATCCGGGTTGCCTACCCCTGCCTTAATATGTCTTAAAGCATTCATAACACTTTCAATAATTATAACAATAATAACAAACTTTGGTAACAATTTATAATTTATAATGCATTGACAAACATTAAGTGTGCCTTCATATTAAGGTATACTTAAATGCTGCTTAATGATGTTCTATGAATGCATTATGAAGGAGCACTTAATGATCTGTAAGTGCATTATAAATGCATTATGAAGTTTGTCGTAATGTACGTGTTACCATTGAAATAAAAATAGTACTCAATAGGAGAAGCAGTTTGAAGATGAGATGAGATAAACATCTTCTCATTCATTCACCAGTTACCGGTTTAGTGTAAATAGAGCTTAGGGTAGTGTTCATGGTACACTGGTTATGTCGGGCAGCCAGTAGTTTGGCAGACTTTTTCTCCAGCCAATCACACTCAGCCGTTGCCCCTTGACCCAAGAGCAGCTTCGCCAATGGCAGAGCCACTGGGCTGGTACTGGACAGCGGTGCCACTCACACGACAGCCATACCAGTGCATGATGGGTACGTCCTTCAGCAAGGTATGCACCTTCCCTATTGGCAGTCAAGGTTTTTTGTGTTTCTCTGCAAAAGGTAATGTTAGCCTAATTTCAATAAAATAACAGGAATTAGATGGAAAAACAGATTTCGTTATTATGTTATTGTACCTATGGATTTGTTTATCCGGATTACTTTATTTATCAGGATAACCTGCAGCTGCTTTTTTGTAAAAGAGCGCTTGTCAGAAAAAAATGTATCCAAAATAACGAGCTCAGATGGAGTGCTTTGAAAGGGTGCTTTTAAAGTACAAGGTACTTCAGAGAATGCCGATAGGTCGATGCAAAATGCATGCTGTCATTAGTTCTCACTTTATATCATACATTTATATTGTATCCATTTTAAATAATATAAAAGTACTGGTTATAATGTGATATAAGGGTGTCGTGGATCTTGTGCCGGAATCCCATGAAATTGGGACATGTGGAGCCAGACGTATGACAGATAGCTCCTAGTCTGTCCTCCAGAGGGCAGAGCCTGTTTCAGGCTGCCGCAGTGTCTCCTTCCAGGCATCGTCAAGTCTCCGTTGGCTGGGGACTTCATCACCATGCAGTGCCGGGAGCTCTTCCAGGAGATGAACATCGACATCATCCCACCGTACATGATCGCCGCCAAGGTGACCAAACCCCACCCTAGCCCCGACCTCAGGGCTCCTCACTATTATCCGGTGGACATAGCTTGGCTGTGATTGGTTGGGCCAGCTTGCCCTGAGAAGGGCCTTGAACTGATTGGCTGGGCCACCTTGGCTTCAGAATGGCTTGACTCTGGTCTGATTGCCTTGGTAGGAAAAACATACATTGAATAGAGGTGTAGTGTTGTAATATTAAGCAGTAGTAGTGACATTTGCTCTTAATGGGAAAGCTTGATTTTTTTTAAAGTAATCTTTGTTGTCAAGTTCAAAGTCAAGACATTGAAACAGACGTTTACCTACAGCTATATAAGGAATTTGGCATTTTTTGCAGTTCCGGATTTTATTAATGAATGTATATAGAGATACTGTCTAGTCTAGTCTGTGTGGATAATGAGAGTGCTTTGCAGAGGGCCCAGCTCTGCGCTGTCCACAATGCATGTAATCATCATGGTAACGTCAAGGATGAATCCAGACTTTTGGGTTTTAAAACCCTGTGCTCCACCTTTAAGCTCAGACATTCTAGACCGCCTTCACTTTTGGTGTACCGCTGATGTTTTCAGTGATTAATTTGTCACATTTGCAAACCAAAGTGAGTTAAAAGTTAAGTTATTCTACCATCTGTAGACAGTTGAAGTTTATATCAAGCTGTGGTCATGAGCATCATACATTTAGAGCTTAGAAGCTCAGGCTGTTTTTACTGATCCACCTGCATGCATTTTCCCAATGGTTGTCCTCCAGAGCTCCGCCCTACTTTTTATATTGATCATTCTCCTCTGGATCCAGTTATGATGTAATCCTCTCTACCTCCACCCCCACTCCCCACCACAGGAGCCAGTGAGGGAAGGAGCTCCACCCAACTGGACAAAGAAAGACAAGTTGCCCCCAGTCACTAAGTCGTGGCACACATACATGTGTAATGTACGGGCGTGTGTGTGTGTTTAGTATGTGTGTGTGTGTATGTGGTCCTGGTGTACCTTACGTTGTGGGGACCAAATGTCTCTAGTCCATTTTGAGCCACGGGGTGGTCAAGTTTTTGTTATACTTCAGATATTAATTACTTAAGCACTAGTGAAGATACTATTATGACAGGATACCAAAAAACACAGCACAAACACCTACAAGTGAGCCTTCATGGAAGATGGCTTCTCACCCTTAGGACAAGTTACTGTTTGTGTTTAAAAGCATGTCCTCGTTTCTCAGAGGCCCTCATAAAAGTTCAGCAGCAGCAGATATTTTCTCTTTCTCTCCCCTGGTTGCCAGGAAATCATTCAGGATTTTCAGGCTTCGGTGCTCCAAGTGTCGGACTCCCCCTATGACGAGCAGTAAGTGGCTCGATCCAGCACAGGCGGCCTCTCTCTGAGCCGATTCATTTGGACTGAAATAGGGGGGTGGGCTGACCCGAAACCAACAAAAAACAGGAAGCGAGATTTGCTCATTTTTCGGAAGTGTCAGTTACTTAGAGGTATCCTCTGTCAGCAGCATCTCTGTGTGAGTTTGCATACTGAAAATCACAAGCTAAAAGCCGAACTGTTCATTTCTTACCGGCATGCATTTTCCTCCTTCCATTTTTTTCCCCATCTCAGATTCATATTCAGATTAAAAGTGACCTAGCAGGACAGAGGTGAGATTTATTACACAGCATTTAAATAAATGCATTTCCCTTTGGGGGGTTAATCAAGTTTATCTTGTCTTATCTTACCTTACCTTACCTTAAGGTAAAGCAAAAAAAATAAAACTAAAAAACAGGCTAAAATAAACCCAAAACCAAAACTCGCAGACATCTTCCTCCGTTACATTGTGCCTCCCCTACCCTTCGTTTCCTCCATCTCTTCTAATCAGTTCGTGTTTCTCCTCCACCCTACACTTCCCCTGCCCTCTGACCCAGAGTTGCTGCCCAGATGCCCACAGTGCACTACGAGATGCCCAGTGGCTATACCACCGACTACGGGGCAGAGAGACTACGTATCCCAGAAGGCCTTTTTGACCCTTCTAATGTCAAGGTCATCCATTCTGACATCACAACAATCCACTGTACTGAATTAGCACCCTCATTTTTCTCTATTAGTTATACATACACACTCAGTTTCCATCGCATTCTATGGACTTGTGTTGCTGGGTGAAGAGTTTCTGAATCCCTCCATCTGTTTCTTGCTCCAGGGTCTCTCTGGGAACACCATGCTTGGAGTCGGACACGTGGTCACCACCAGCATTGGCATGTGTGACATAGACATCCGCCCTGTGAGTGTCTGCCTGTGCAGGGTTTGCTGTCTCAGCAAAAATATTCCTAAAAGCAGAAATGTTCATGAGAAATATACGATGCCTTGTGGTGTCTGTTTTCCTCAGCACATCTGTCAGTGCTGTTACGCTTATGTGAGTGTTCCTCTGGACCTGTGTTAGTACTTTAACATTGTACAGGGAGTGGACAGTAAAGTGGTTGTTAGTACTAATTCTCAGGGCCTGTCTATTAGTCTTGTTACTCGATTGTGGCTGTGTTCCTCAGGGCCTGTCTGTCAGCGCTTTTACTCAGTTGTGTCTGTCTTCCTCAGGGCCTGTACGGCAGTGTTGTTGTCACCGGGGGAAATACTCTTCTACAAGGCTTCACAGAGAGGCTCAACAGGGAGCTGTCCCAGAAGGCCCCCCCGGTAGGGAGCGTGTCTCTCCCCACTCGGTCAGACACGCAGGTTAAGGGCACAGTCACTGGCATAGAGTGTATGGTGAATAGGAATGTTTTAGTCTGACAGATCAGAGAGGCCATAGCATCTCCAGCATGACACAGCAAGGACACAGATCCCAGAAGGGCGTTTGTAATCCGCCTATGTTGTTCTCCATCCTAACCTGACCCCCCACCCCCCTCAAATGAACAGAGCATGAGGTTGAAGCTGATCGCCAGCAACAGCTCCATGGAGCGTCGCTTCAGCCCCTGGATTGGGGGCTCCATACTAGCTTCCCTGGTGAGTCACGTGGAGTGACGTCTTTATCTGTCTGCCCATCCATCTGTCTTTTTCACTGTGTGTGCCCAACACACCCGGCAGCAAGGCAGACACACATACAGGGGCGTGGCCACATGGGCACTGCCCCCAACTGAAAGCTGATTGGCCCCTAGAGTGTCCCCTCCCCTGTCACTCACCGATTCAAAACACATCATTGGCTAATGATAAGGTTGGCCCCTTTGTATGAATTATGCCCTCTCTTATGCCCCCCACCTTAAATAAACCTAGAATCACCCCTGCAGAAGGATGTTTATTATTACATTTATTATTTAACTAGGTGATGAAGCCACATACGCCCATGTTGTTGTGCAGGGAGATTTACACAGCTGCACTCTCGCTCTTTATTTCAGGGAACCTTCCAGCAGATGTGGATCTCCAAACAGGAGTATGAGGAGGGCGGCAAGCAGACCGTGGAGAGGAAATGTCCCTGACCCCCAGCTGGCGCAGCAAGCATCCACAGCGACAGCAGGGGGCGCTCAAAACACAAACTGACTCTGAACCCATGGGCAGAATAAAAACCACCATCACAACTACTGGTTTTCATAGTGTTTCTGTATTTCTCTTTGTTTTCACTCTTTCTATAGCTTCTCACTTACTTTCTGTTTAATATTTAAGCTCCACGCCCGGTTTTGTTCTCAGAACAAATACTTGAATCTGTAAACTGCTCAGTTTTTTTCCACATTTAGCATTATGATGAAGTTTTACCTCCATCCATCCATCCATCCATCTTACCATTGTTTCTCTTGGGCACATAGAAATACAATGAGAGATACTAACAGTTCTGACCTCTCTATCAGCCAATAACAGTGGGCCCCCAGGACTGGATTTGAGAACCACTGCTTTATTATTGGCTGTTTGAGAGGCCATCCCAAAAACCTGCACCCACACTGGCCCTCCATGGAACAGGGTCCCTGCCCCAGTCTAACTAAACTTCTTTGGACACACACACACACACACACACACACACACACATAGGACAGAGCGGAGGCAGCATTTAGTAAATCTGGAGGTTTCAGGCAACAATGTTACCCTCCAATATCTGCACGAGAAATCATATTTACATAATACTTTCATTAACTACGTGTTGATCTTGAGATTTCACAGACTGCTTTTGTCTCTGTGGTTTTGTCTGAAACATCGTTGAATGGTGAACAATGCAAAATACTGTTTAAATATCATTATAAATGTTAAGACTCATCTTGCAATTACCGAAAGCACAGCTTTGGAAACATTTTCAAAATATGTAAATCATCTCGACTTGCAGAATTTAAGAATTTTCCATCGAGCACCATCCACCAGCAACTGGTCGCGACGACTGGCCTGTAGATTTCGTAGCATTAGATGTGCAGTATATCCTGCGTTGCATGTTTGCAACAACAAAAGAAAACAAACACACCAGAAAAGCCATAACACACGCTTGGTATGACGTAGCACAGACGTCAGTGGCCCCGCAGTCCTTGACTCTGCAGCACCTGTGACGTCGCTCTGATGCAGGAGTGCACTGCTCCGGAGCTGCCAGCTGAAGCTACAAAGGAGGGTGTTTGACAGATGCCCGGGGAGCTTATGAGACCTGGTTACTGGAGCACAGGAGCGGGGAGAACAGGCAGCAAGACTGGCCAGGGCAGGCGTAAGACGACAGTTTGCGGACACAAGCATCCATCTGACAAGCTGGTGAGTCAGCCGCCTTTTCGAGGTGTTTGAACGGTCCAGTGGTGGAAACCTGCCAGGGGAAGATTCAGTTGTACTTCAAAGTTAATATAAACCACACTGGAGCTCAACGTTTTCCAAAACAAAAATATTGTTGGCAATTCATTGTGAAAAAAAAATAAAATATATATATATATATATATATATATAGCATTCAACTAAGAGTTGTTGTATATCAAAATAAACCATGCAAATTTAGCTGAGCATATGTGACTTGTTCATTGGTACAGACATTTGACGGGTAACAGTAACAACATATGAAAATGATAAGTAACATTAACATTTTAGATCAACAATCTGTTAATGTCCCAAGTTAAGGGGTGAAATCCGGAATGGAAAACAATATTTATTTTAATTATTGATGTATTTATTAACAGATGCATTTTTAACTTGAGTGCTGGTTCCGGCATATTGACACATAAAGAAATCGTGCAGGGTTGAAGAATTATTTTTTTTCCACGCAAACTTCTCGGTAATCCTGTGCACGGGACGCAGACCAGCACGTCTTTAGCAAACCATTTTGGGTTAACCTGGACCTGCAATAGGTGTTCCTGCTTGGTAGGCTACTGCTATCACAGATCCGTGGGGTATTTTACCATGGTAGCCAGGGCCCGGCCAAGGCATAAGCAAATGAAGAGGCTGCTTAGGGCCCAGCGGCCACCAGGGGGCCCCTCAACTAGGTTACTCAAACTTTGCTTAGGGTCCCAAATGGACTGGGCAGGCCTGGTGGTAGCTATACTGTATTAGACACTAAATAATCCTTCTTTGTTCCTTCTGTGTCCATAGTGCCCTGGATGTCACCTGTCTGGATCCCTGACTGAATTCTCCTGTGTGCAGAATGGGGTTAGCTTTGTGTAAATGGCTGAATAGTGGTCCTACCTGGAGTAGAGTTTCTTCGTCCTCCTCTTCATCCTCCTCCTCCCCGTTTCACCCTCTGGCTGTATCCATGGTGTCTCGTCTAGCAGTCCTGCTGGACACCCCCCCGGCCCCCGCAGCAGACCCCCGGTCCCTCTGGAGCCCCGGCCATCATTCCCCAAACTTCTGCCTGATACAGGGTGGAGTGGTGGCCCATCGTGTCCCCACCCAGCAGAGTACGGATGCAGTGCGGGCGGCCCTGGGGCAGGGGGTGGGGCTGCACGTGTGGGAGGTGAGCTGGGATCCAGCAGAAAGGGGGAGCCACGCCGTGGTGGGCGTGGCCACTCAGCAGTGCCCCCTACAGACATCAGGCTACAGGGTGCTGGTCGGAGGAGATAAGGAGTCCTGGGGGTGGGAGCTGGGCTCCAACCAACTCTGGCATGGCAACGTGCCTCAGGGTCTCTACCCTGGAAGCAAAGAAGATGGAGGGGGAGAGCGCCCCCCGGTGGCCGTGCCAGGCAGCATCCTGATGGTTCTGGATGCTGATGCTGGGACCCTGGGCTTCGTGGTGGACGGTTGCTTCCTGGGTGTGGCCATGCGGGGCCTGCCACGAGGAGCCCCTCTGTTCCCCGCTGCCAGCAGTGTGTGGGGTCGATGTCGTATCGGCCTGCGCTACGTGAACGGCGCCTCCCGTGAGTGCTTAAGGACGTCAGAAGGCGATAGCAGTGGGAAACAGCCTACATCACTGCTAGCTTTCATCAAAACACAATAATCACAATTACACAATAATCTCCAATGGCTGTACACCCCCTCAGAGAAACGGCCTTGCAGGCCACTCTAGATTAGATTGTCAGCTAGATTAACACAATATTTATAACATGTGCTTTTATGATTGAGTAGAGAGTGTGAGGCTTTGGGAGCGAGATTGACTAAGTAACTAAGTGGTTCCAGTCTAGCTGCCCCCAGCCTGTCTCCTAATCTTCCCACCCCCTCTCGTTCTCAGGGGAGCCTCCATCTCTGACATCACTGTGCCGCCTATCTGTTCGCCAAGCCTTGGGCAAAGACCAAGGGAAGCATGTGGATGACCTGCGGCTGGCCCCAGCTCTCCGGCGCCTTCTCTGACGTGATCTCCAGTTCACCTAGACCTGCTGTCCAATGAGAACGCTTCCCACATCTTCCAATCAACAAGGGCTAAACACACAGGCTTCCAATCCACCCAGACCTTCTCAGAGATCTCCACCTCATCCACAGCTCCTCACTCACAAGCTCCACTTCTGGCTTCTCATGTGGGCTTGCCTGGATGCAGTATGAGCAATGAGGCTAATCGCTGCTATGTATATTTGAATTCTTATATTTTGTTTCACAAATGTAAATATATGAGCTTATTTAAATATTAACCTATTTAAATATATTTAAATACTTAAGGATAAAGATTTTTAAGGTACGCTAAATCCTCAATTTAACCAACTAATGGGGGAAACCGTTGCTTGGAAGAATTGTATCAAACTAATAATAAACATTCTAAGTTTTGGAAAAGAATCACGATAAAGTGAAAGATTTATTTGAAAAATGGTATGTTATGTCCTTTTCTTAATACATAACTGTCATGTATGCACATATTTTTGAATAAAATATTTAAAACAATAGTTATGTAATGGAATACGGATAGCTGCTTTGTATAATCATCACCTCTTATAAATGCTTTCTTCCAAGACTGTTCTGTACCAAAGTGTAAACCAATGTCTTAAGCTGCTGTATTTAGAAAACATAAAAACTCTTAATTTAGTGTGCATCAATGTTACATGGCAGAGCTGAAGTACTGAGTATTACACATTTTAAAATACATTGTTTCATATCAGAAATGCAAATATCAGATATTTTCCCGTTTCTTCGCTGACGGCATATAAATTAAACTACAAAAGAAAGATGGAAAAATCAGAAGAAGGACATCGATCTATTCTGTTTATTTACACCAGCACAAATACAGCCAAAGAAAAAAAGTCTACATATGTACAATGCATATTTTATTCCTTTACAATATGATATTGTACGGTTCTATGATTGATGCATCATAAGTTATATATATATCTTATTTTGGTTGTGGTGTCATGGGATTGCATCCCATGTTTTTCCTTTTTTTGGTGGGGGGGGGGGGGGGGGGTAGTTCACTCCCACATTTGCCATCTGAGGTTTGATTAAATGCCAAGATGAGGAGGCACCATTGCTGGGAAATATGGCGACTTCGTCCGGTTATGGCTGAGGCCCCAAAACGCAAGTGGACGACGTCTGTCAGCACCAGAGGCTTCCCTCCCACTGCAGAATCAGCATTTAAATCCGAGGAAAATGTTTGTCTTCTACCAGCCTGACTGGCCCATTTCATGTATCCACCCCTTTCCTATTGGCTACTTCTGCGCAAATGTCAAATATTCCAGGATGCCGCAGGGTTTGCCTAGAAGGCGCAGGCTTTGGTCTCATCCAAACACTCACAGCTCCTTCACAGACAGATGGAGGAGCACCTTTCATCCTGAATTCCAGCTTGTGGAGGAACTTCAAACACCATGATCAGATTACAATCAAATAAATTCATAATGGGCGGGGGGGGGGCGGGAGAAGACCACAGCTGCAGGTGTTCTGGTGAAGCCACTGAAGAGTCAAAGATCGATGGTTCGGCACGTCAGCGTCTAGCTCACTGAGTGGAGAGATACAGAGGAGCACCAGAAGCGAGGACACCCCCACACTCTCAGGATCAGCTGCTACCTCCACCGTAATGCATCCTGGGTGATCCTGCTGGGCATTGCTGCCTGTAGGGTAGAAGCCACAGACATGATACATTGCTGTGATCCAGCATCACTGACGAGGGTCAAGCCCTGACCTACGTGCGCTATTCTGATGTCTCTGCTTTCATTCCTCATTCTGAAACAGAACCCCCCCCCAAAAAAAACACCACAAACTGCAACACATAGCCACCACACGCACATTCATCTCACCTCCACATGCATCCCAAACCAGATTCTTTCACTTTGTGCTTACGCACCCACTGGCCAATCAGAAATCTGATTTTAAAACAAACACTTTCTCTTCTATGACTTCAGCCTCCTCTGTCTTACCTGGACTGTTATTTTATCATTTTCTGCCGGTCGAGGAACCTCTGTCTGCGATCCTCGGGAATCTCGTCAAGACTGATTCCGTGATTGCTGGCCCTGAGCAGAGAAGGAGAGCGAGAAGAGGAGATGAGGGCAGAGGAGGAGAGGAGAACTGGGGGAGGTCAGGAGCGCTAGAGGGAAGGAGAGAGTAAGGGAAGTCTTCTGAGTCTGAGCTGGACATGCCTGTCATACAACTAGGGAAAGTAACAGAGGCACAGTGGCTGACAGGAAGGTCTACAGACAGACTGTTCCACCTCACAGAGACCAGCCAGATCTTACCCTGGGGTCAGGTCTGGAGGAATGGGCAGAGGTTTGTTGAATCCATCTCTACCCACCAACCAATATGTGTCCTCAATTCCTTTCCCCTGAAAATGGCGAGAGAGAGAGTGAGTTCTACTGATGAGCACACCTGACCAAGTGCTCTCGCTGTTACGTTGTGTGTATGTGTGTGTGTGTGCGTGTGTGCGAGCGGGTTTACCTATCCTTATGGGGACACAATGTCCCCATAACGTGATAAATAAACGGTTTCCTGGTCCCCATAAGGAAAAACTCTATTTTATAAAAATCGGTGACTGCTATGAAAAAACTAAAAATGCAAAAACTCTTGTATTTTGGTAGGTTACTTATGGTTATGGTTAGGGCAGGGTGGGGGTTAAGGTTGTCATAGTTAGCATTAGCATTTTTCCCATTGAAATGAATGAGCGGTCCCCATAAGGATATGTTTACCCTACGTGTGTGTGTGTGTGTGTGGGGGGGGGGGGGGGGCTATGTATGCGTTACACTGTTGATGCCAAATATAACAAAATCATGTGACAAAAACCTGTCCCTCCCCACAAGAGGGAACTCACATTTATAAAAATCTGTGATTGGAAAGTGTGCCTCCCATCCAAGTGAGTGAGCTAGTGCAGTGCATGCTGGGAATGCGCCTACCTTCAGCTCTGTCTTGCCTCGTATGTCCAGTTTATAGCCCATATTCAGCTTCCTCAGGATATCAACGGTACTCTGGTTGGCATGTATCCTGTAAGCTGGAGTATATAACAGCAGCATTAAACACATGATAGCTGTGTTTATCTATATGACAGTGTGGCTATTTATTAACATTGCTGTGTGCCTTTCACTTAAGCTGTTGGTGTATGTGTGTCATTGTGCGACGGATATGGGCAATGGCCGTCATGTGCTTAGATCAAAAAAGGTATAGGTACTAAATGAGACAAAAAAATTGCAGTGCACTAAACACCCACTAGAGGGACAAGCTTTACCACATATTCCATTACCAGGTCAAAAGTAAGATAGTAATTAAACAAATCTTATCATTTAATTATATGGAAACAGTAAATATTGTGATCTTAAAAAAATGCAAATTAGTGTTAAAATAAGTAAACAAATTCACCATAAAATTGTCTCGTCACACTGAAAGTCATATGCTGTACAATGCAGCCAACCAAGAGCACCAGAGCAAAAACAGATTATGGTGCAGATTATGTTTTATCATGCCATTCATCTGCATGTGACCACAATTGTTCCAAAGCGCCACCTTGTGGCTGCATGCTGTTCAGTTTGTCTTTTCCACGCCTGTCCTTACTTCTGCTCCTTATACTGTCACTCGTCACTTCATCTGTGGCTGTAATGAGGCCTCAAGGCCACATGACCCTGACTGAGGGTTAGCTGTCGTTCTTTCATTTATTAAAAGGAATGCAATTAGAGAGGAAGGAAAGGAGATCGACTTCCTTTAATGAAGTGCTTTCCGTGACTTTGAACGGCGCACAACTGGCAAACTGAACACAGAGTCCTGAATGTTCCTGTTAATCCTGAGCATCCTCTTAAAGGATCAGGGAATCCAGCCCACTCCATAGATACCCTGTGACACACGTGCGCGGGGCGTGCACGGGTACACACACAGGTATTTATTTTAGTAATTTTTAATTTAAGAATGAAATATTTATTATTCACGATGCACTTCAAATTTCGTTGTACATTGTGCAATGACAATAAAGCTATTACAATTAAAATTTCACACACACACAAATACACATTTGAAATCATATGTTTGTGGGGACTGTCCATTCATTTCTATTGGAAAAACCCTTAGAACATAAGAAATTTACAAACAAGAGGAGGTCATTCTCAGTAATAATATCCCAACAATGACATCTTTCACCCCTATCCAGCCCTAACCTTAATCATGAATAAGAATAACCAAGCAAAATACAAGACTTTTTGCTCTTTTAGTGTTTTCACTGCAGTTACAGATGTTCATAAATTGAGTTTCCCCTTCTGGGGACTGCAAAAAATGAAAAATAACAGGTTTTTATCACATTGTGGGGACATTTGGCCTATACATACCTCACATACAACGCATACACATGCGTGTGCACGCACACACACACACACACACACACAAAGCTGTGCTGGTCACACGCCATATAAATATATGAATACAAGCATGCATTATTTATACTAAAACATTATTTAAGATGAGCAATTCAAATGTTGATGGTGTGATGGAGCAAGAGTACCACTGTTAGCAGTAATTTGACAGTAACACCAATTCCTAAAAAACAGCACTTATGTTAACGCAGAAACGTATTATTTATATAATCATGTCAGAGATAAGGCACCTTATCAGTTATCTGACGCCTTGCCAGGGCCACGCTCAATACACTGTGATGATATGATGTTAATCCTACCTTGGGTATAATCTGACAATGCAGTGCTGTCATAGTTTGTGGGTCCACGTTAAGCTTTTTGGCCCCTCGACATCTTAGCATGTCACGTGGTGTTGCTGGATCTGTCTGCCAACATTCCCTCATCAGCACTTCAAAAAATCTCCTCACAAGCCAACCTGGTCTCATCCTCAACCCAGGTGTGACGGCCAAGCGAGTCTGGCACTAGAGCCAAGATCTAATGAGGCTTCTCCACTCCCACGGCTGCTAGCACTCAATTTCCGGTTTCAGTCTCGCGGAGGGCATGCTAGTTCCC